TGCCTGAACTCAACTATGGCACACAATCGTTCTTTAATTTCCCTTTTCGCCAATCGAATACCAAATCGTCAGAGTTCGATTCAAATAAAAATTCAGTCAAGCTAGTTTTATCTTCGTCAAACAACCAGAAATTACATTTCATTTAACACTTTTTAGCTATTGATCCTCATTATGTGTCTTCGCACACAAAAAAGTGGATGACAATCACTGACAGAGATTATGGTTACACTTCACACCCTTGTACACAACAGGTAGACTGAGAATTACTTTGTTTTTGTTATTTTAATTTTTTTTTTTACTTAAAGCTTACAATTAAAAAAACCGATCGTTTAAAATCATGTATAAAAAACAACACTGAAGGAAACACTTTCGACGACAAGAAGTGCGACAAAAAGGAATTTACGTTTTCTTACTGAGACTGATGTGACTTTCGTATGTGCGTGCGATTTGTAAAGACACGACTTTCTTAAAATTAACCGGCAAAAGGTACTTAAATTTATGGATTTAAATAAAGTGTTAGCGGACAGAGGAATTTCTCTACTTCAACAAGTATTAAAACTAGACATTTGTACTTTTATCTTTTTTTAGGATTTCTTTGTATCTTTTTATTTAGGACCGTTTTCTCGTTTCCAAAACTCGTCTCGCCGTTTCCTGGCTCGTTCAAGTGTCTCCGATGCAGTCGATGCGCGACTCGACATCGCAGACACGGACAACACGTCATCATCTCTTCCTCTCACACTACCCCCGACGCTAGCCGGTGGACTGACTTGACGGGGATCAGGTGGGGATATGTCCACCCTGCGGGGAGGTGTGAAGGACCTTGCATCATCTCCTAATCCCACACTCGAGGCCGGGCTGGCAGGGCGAGCTTCCCTATCATCTCTAGGGGGTGTGCTATACCCATTCCGGCCGGACTTGCTGTATCCCCGCAAAGCAGGTTTCTTTTTCCTCGAAAGCGACACAGACTTCTCAAAGCTATCGTTCAAGATATCGGTCGTCACATCAAGGTGGTGCCGTCGAGATGTTCGGGTATCTCGAAGTTCTGGAGTCGGAGATCGACCTCGTTCAAGAATCATGTCGGTCCCATCATCAGATGTGGCGTCCGTTCCCGAGCCTGCTCGCCTATCTTCGGAACCTGTCGGAGAGCGAGAGCGTTCTTCGGTCCACGCTTCGCGTCTTCGTGGTGGCGACATGCTTCTTGCCCTGGATCGTGGGTGTGCTGTGCGATTTCTGCTCTTTTCCTCAGCTGAGGAAAGAGAACCGGCGCGTTCCGCCTGTTCTCTGTTGATTTCGTCTAGGCTCTCGCGAGAGAAATGTGTTCCTCGCGCATTGTGCGCGTAGCCGTAGGCCTCGTTACGACGATGAAGTACCTGAGGATTGGAATATTTGATCAGACTCTCAATAAACAAACTACATGGAACGTAAGATACTGTTAAATGTTTAGCAGTGAATCATTACAATGGTAATCAAGTAAACATCCAAGGTGAATGTATTTGAATAAGAGAACAGCTAGTCAAGAGAATTTACCTGATTAAACCAATCGGGCGTATCCTTCCGTTTATCCTAGAAAAAGAAACAAAATAATTAAGAACAACACTCAATTCCAAGAAATGAAGTTCTCGATCGGATCGAAAGATATGATAATCCCCGACTCAGAATACAATTATAGCCCCTATAAGACTACAGAATAGGCGGATTATTGCGTGGCGCGACGGCAAAATTTGACCTACAGTCGCATCAGCGGCGAAAGGTACGAGGAGGAGGAGGAAGAGGGAGACTGCGCAGATCACTTTTGCAGTTTCGTTGACAGTAAAAATGACTGTACTCCTACATATACTAGTTTTTTTCCCAGTCTTCGCGCGGTATAATGGGCAATAAGCGCAATCCTCTCGAACAATCAGATCTGCATTTCTGCATCTGCATTTCCCACGCACTTTCCACTTCTCATGGGAATGCCCCTGAAACACAGTGAAGGCGGTGCGTCTACATCGAGCTCAAATCTTGCTCTCTTTTCCAAAAAACTACAGTAAATTTTGATTTTCGTTTTACGCCTCTCAATTTTGAGGCGTTCTCCTGGCTCAGCTGCTTCAAGTATCTCGAGCAACGATGTCTAAGAAGTCCATTCACTCGTGCCAGTCCTCTACGCACCTTTACGTTATAAGTTGCCTCTGCACTGATTGGAGTTTCTATCCATAATCCATCAACGTATTTGAACTTTGTTGGCTGAACAAAACGGCTTGAATACTCTGAGTCAAAAACTCTAGAATCAGAAAATAGAGAGCATAAAAAAGGAGCAAAGCAAAGAACGTGAAAATTACAGACTCTGAACAAAGAAAAAACATATGAAGTCATTTCAGGTCACAAAGAATATCTTTGGAAAGACTACATAGTGTCCGTAGCTTAGAACGTCGCATTGAAGGAATGAGACAAGAAAATCCATCACTGTTCTGCTTTGCATCATTGCTCTGAGAATTTATAATAAGTGGTTAAGCAAAGACTCTGTTCGTAAAACACTCAGCTACAAAAAGCACGCAATGAATCTAAATCTACGATGTCCTTGTTCGTGAGAATAAACGAATAAAATCGTTACTTGAGGATTAAAACAACTGACTGCAATTCTAAAAAATGCGGTGCGCAGTTTTGAAGGTTGCTTCAGATCTGGCTCCGGTTGTTTGATGAGTGGATAACGCTATTCGAAGGGTAAATCCTTTTCCGATGGATAGTGCAGTACGTTTTTGCTAACACTTGTCCGCTGGATAGTGATTTATCCGTTGGATAGCGTTATCCGCCCTTTGAATTGAATAAGTGGGCCCTAGACTGTTTTGCTTCTTGAAGATTTAATCGGGGATTACGGTATGGGCAAGTTGTGGGGTGTCTACTGCAGCAGGGTATCTGCTGGGAAGTATTATTAAAAAAAATTACTTTTGTTGGCGTTCTGGTGACCTTAGGTACTGGGGGTCTTCTGAAGGCCTTAGAAGTCTTGTATCACCAATACTTGTGGCTCTTCGGATCCCAGCAGGGGGAAGGCGATCTGGGCTGACTTCTGTTCAAAAAGAAAAGCTCAGTGTCGTGATAAAGAAAATTGATGAGGGTGACCGTTGGAAAGCATGGAAAGAGAGGAAGAATTGAAGTAAATTGCTGGTTGTACTGAACAGAGTCCAAAGCCACTGAGTTAAACAGGCTTTATTTCAATGATGTATATATTGTAACTAATGAACTGCGAGCATGTGTAGGTGTTGTATGGTAAGTTGGAAAAGTCTTGCAATTCATGTCGAATTAATTTGGCGGTAATAATATTAGATGAAACAAATTATTGCAAGTACGCATACATGTCCATTTATGTATATTTGGATGAATTCATTGAAAAATTTCTTCATAATAATTTTCAAATCAAGCTTCATCAACCCTTAAGCCCCTAAGCGTAACTAATGCATTTAATTTCTCTTTACTATAACACCTCTGAATCAAACCTGAAAGTCTTGAGAATAGAAGAGATGATCACTAACTAAAGCAGCTCTTGATTATTAAACAAATTCTCCTTGTCAGCCTCTTTGGAAATGTGTAAAGGACGGTATGGAGAATATGCATACTGATGTTAGGGTGTAAAGGGTTAAAGAAAATGAATGCACATGTAGAAAATGTAGAAACCTTGAAATATGTGAGCAGAATGTGGTTTCATTTTCATCAACCATCACAGGTACAGTGTGTATTTCCTTACCTCCTTTCCTACCACCAACTATCTTTGGTGGACTCTGCTGTTTTCTGGGTTTGCTCTTTTTAGGGGACTTTGATTGTTTCTTGTAGTCTACATAATCCAGTTTGTAAGTGCTTCTCCTGTTGATTCTGTCTGGCACGTAAACTGGCTGCTTTCTGTTTCCATGCTGCTCTTGATCACGAAACATCTTTCTCTCAGCTGCAAGGATTGGCGTTTCACTTCTGTTTAATACTGAACTTTGTACAGCCTTTGTGCTTTTTCCCTGAATACAAAAATATATGCCATTGAAAATTGTCACTAGCAAATTTACCTTTTTTGAAATTGTTGAGGGTAAGTTATGGAAATTACTCTTTTCAAAAGTTTGGATGCTCCATTGAATATTTGTGTCAAATCTTCTTGTCAAGGGTTATCTGCTGACTTTTTTTTCCTTTAAATTTGTAATTTCACAAATCTAATGCAACATAAAAGCATCTTCAACTGCCATAATTTGAAATGGAAATGATAAGGGGCTGCATCCTTAAATTAGTTTAGCCACTTTGCCTTGAAATTCCAAACTAAAGTCTCTGCATCACAAATTAATGTTTTCTTTCCAATTTTCTGCCCCTCAGAGGAGGCTGTCTCCTACTCACCTTCTCATGCTGTCTGTTAAGTGAATGGGACCTGCGTGATTCTCCACCAGACTTTAACCAGTCTCTATCATCCTGTTCTTTAACAGTAAAAGTTGTGAAGATGTTGTGGTTCTTTTCATATGGCACAATCCTTTTTCTTTGAAGTGGAGGTTCATGGATAGTACCCAGTTTACTGGACTGTAGGCCTGCCCTTGGCGTTGAACCATGACTGTTCATGTGGCTGTTGGTAACTGATCTTGTCACTTCACCCTTCACTGTATCAGGACGTTTAGCCTCAAATTGCTTGTAATGTGAAAGATACTCTGATTCATATCTCTGCAAGAGATTTAATAAGATATTTTGCCCAAGTTAAAGTAGATTGTTTTGTTATTAGTTTTCTTATGTCAAACAAAAACTTAAAAAACATATTACATGAGTCTTTCAAGGCTCATTGTTGCCATAGACCCTTATTTGAGCCCTTGAAAGTGTTAAATGTAGTAAACAAAGGCTAATTAGTGCTCAAGAAGAAACAGCCTCTCTACAAAAATGTACAATAAAATAGTACAAAATAAAGTGATGGTTTCTTTATTTGAGACATTTTCTAACAAGGAGAGTTGCTGCTGTGCAAATTTCCATAATTATCAAAAATGGAGAAGCTTAAAACAAATTTTTTTTCTTTAACTTGGATTGCAAGCAGATAGACAACAGAGCACACATTAAATTTTAATTGCCTTCATGCAGTCATCTCTTGTACTTCAGAGATCTCAGGAATAACAGTATAACAACCCATTGAATGCTCACATCCAGACGAGATATGGAAATTCTCCATGTTTCAACAGTAAGTTTGCAAATTTCTTATGTCACCATCATCACTTCAGAATGATACAATATGCTTAATTTCTGTTGTAAATTTAATTAGGTTAATCATGAAATCAACTTCACTACAGACACAATCTAATTACAGGAACTTTAATTAGTGAGAAAAAAAGCGTTCGTTCGATTAATTTTACACATCAAATGTATAGCAATCAGAATTCTCGATCTAGGAAAGATCATACTGTGGGAAAGTTGAAGGTTCATTTAGACATACCACAACATTGAAATACTTTGAAAATTTTAAACACGTTTTTATGTCTATGTAAACCATTCCTTTAAGATCTTAATGCTTCTCAATCAATAGATATACAATCGTGAAAGATCATTTTGAAGAAAGAGCGATCTCAATATCATTCTAGGAGGCGAAAGTTAATGTCAACAACGAAAACATAGAACATGCTGTTGATCATATTGAGTCACAAACCTTTGAGCGTGGCGCTGGCATTTCAGAAAAGTCAGATCCTCACCAAAACAGACTACACGCATCAAAAAAGCTATATGGCAGCCAGAAAGAACATTTATAGAGGAATCAAGGCCGCCAAGAGTAGAAATAAAACAACCAAACAGATGGAGTATAAACACGCTTTGACTTTGGCGTACGCTTGGCAACAAAAGACGCTACGATCAGCTGATAACGAAAACGAGGCCATCTTCGCGGACATGCGCATTTGCACCAAGGATGAGCTAACATGGCGGATTCACCTGGCCTGTCACCAACTAGCCGCTCTGAAACAGATCAAGTCTTGCTTCAGAAAAAGAACAATGAGAGCGGAGAAAGGAAGAACTACGAAAGGGACAGATCACTTAATGCTGTTAGCACCGCGGCTCGCACAAAGCTCTCACAGCTGATCGATCTGGCCACACAAGCTGAGGAACAAACTGATTATAAGAGAGTTGTGGACACTGTTTTTGATTCGGTGAGAAAATATATTTTTGTCTAAATATCCTCTGAGGACTAATTTTACAATACGCTGCAGCTCCAAAGCTGAATTTGCATCTAAAAAGGAAAGTTTTGTGTCAGGATCTTAGTTAGTTGTACGTGATAAAACTGGATAATTAAATATCGCAGAGAAAGAAATCAAATATCGTGTTCTTCCGCATATTTACCCGCGCGCGTGATGTTGATTACATGTCATTTTGTTTTTCAGTAAACGATCAATCAAGTAACATGTTTTTGCCAATTTTATTCTCGCATTTTTTAGCTTGTTGGTGGAGTTTTTGATCTCGAAGCCCGGTTTACCATCAAAGATTCATCGGATTTGATAATATTATTAGAGCTTTTGGAGCACTGCAATATTTCACTTAAGGTAAGAACCCACACTTTAATTCCCGCTTACGCCCTAGCTCCGCGGTCTCTCCATATTTTTCTTTTCTTTTATCTGATTCGTGAGTTCTTGGCAATTTCTCTTTGTGGCTTTTTGTTTATTTCCAAGGATACCACACGGTAGAGAAAATATTGTGCGCTTCTCGTCAGCAGTTAATGATCATAAAATTTCTTAATTTCTTTGTTGAAGTGCCAGTTCCTCTTCTTTGCAAATGATAAATTATACTTTCTAATAAATTAACCTCATCCTTGAGATATCTCTGTATTGAGATGTTTTTGTTTATTTCATTAGCACCATTAATATTTTTTGTGTTTACAATACTGTATAATTATTTGAACATTGAAGTACAGGTTTACGCTTCGGAAAGGAAACAACATGGCTTTTGATTTTAATTTATGTATTTGAAATCTGCTTTGATTCTAGGTGAGACTGTTTACATGTGTGTGTGTGGCAGTTTTTGTTTAATTACAGCCTAAAGTGTCAACTTCATTTTCAAATATTTACCATTGGAAAAGTAGTCTTAGTTTGCTTTGTTACTTAGTGTCTACTAGATTTTAGTCTTTTCACATTTCCCTCAGAATTTATACTTTTTGCGGGAAACTAAAAGCTATTTAGACATGTACATGTTGAATAGAAAAAGATCGTGGACCTCTCAAGCAAGACATCCATATTTATGAATTAAGGACACCTGGAAAAGTAGCCTGATTCTCCACCTATTACTCAATAAGATAAGAGACATTGGGTATACAAAGCAAACTTAATAAATGCACTATAAATTCTTAGATATCTGATATATATATATATATATTTTATTTTGTATATTTATTTCATTCATTTATTTTTATTTTTTTAAATTTAGATGTATTAACTCATAAATATCAGGAGAATTGAAGACATTCTCAGCTAGTTTATTCTGTTTTTTTTTCCCCCCTTAAAGTATGTTTCATACATTGTTTGTTGTTTTCCTTGTATTTCCATTTCATTTTCTATTTGTCTTACACAGTAGTTTAAAAAGTCATCCCTGTTAACCTCACAAGAGATTTTACTACTATAGGGGAAAGATTGCATCAGGAAATCATTTTTTAAGAATATAATTTGAACAGGAAATGTTCTTGAACTGCTGCCAAAGCTTAAATTGATTTGAATCTATGGTTTTATTTTTAAGAATACAGCATTTTTCTAGAAGTTTTGGTGTCTTTCTATCATTTAGATATTATGTTGTCTTCTTCCACAGGTTGAAATTCTTGGATTGCTTATTGCAATTTTAAGAAAAAGCATTCCTAACTTACAAGCAGCTACTAAAATTGGACTAATTGAAAGAGTGCTATGCCGGCTCTCACAGGAAGGGGAAGTTGTTGTGGCAGGTGATTACTGAACAATTAAACACATTTGCTTAACCCTAGTAATATTTGATGTCACTCAACTGTAATCCCTAATGCTTAAATAATGGTTCTTTGTCCTTGTTTCAGGTTGAATTTATGACCACCACTTCATTTTTCTCACCACACTAATGCATTTTCTGCCAAACTGTTGACTAAAATTCACAAACATGACAAATATATTAGCTATAGGGATTTATTTTGATATAAATGTATAACCAAACTCTTTTTCAACAACAAGGAAATGTAAGTAAAAGATTTGGAGAAATTTCAGAAGATTAAATAATTGTTACCACCAATTGTAAAATTTAGGCGTCTGCCTTGTACTAGTGCAGTTTTAGGTAATGACTGAGGAAGTAGAAGACAGTAACAAGAAATAAATAAAATGATAACAGTGACAGTATCAACAGAAAAAATAGAACAGGATAAAATGCTGCCCCCCCCCCTTCTTTTACAAAGGCTGGTGACCACTTACAGTACAGAGGTGACCTTTTATAGAGTTCACGTACAGGGGGAGGGGGGAGGTAATACTGGTTTTTATTGTATACAAATTCTTGGATGAGGACTGCATGTGTATTTTCAATTTTTTAATTTTTGTCATCACTGTTTTTCTTGTTTTAAGACAAACTGGTGGAGCTTCTTGGAATCCTGTCCAGTTACAGTATTACAGTCAAAGAGCTGAAGACTTTGTTTGTCACTTTGAAGGGTGTGAATGGGAAATGGGTGAGCTTTAGATCTTCTTTTGCTAGAAATTGAAATGTAACAAACCACTAGAGATCAAGATTTTTTCTTCTTTAAGGTTCCTGTTTTGGACCATTGCCAGCCTATGATTATCAAAATAAAAAGTTGAATTTAACATATTTGTTTTTTGATTAGTTCTTTTTTATATTTATTGGAGGACAAATGCATAGATCATATTACCATAAACAGCTCTGCAAACTTTTTTCTCTGTCTTTGATAAAATGTCTGAGGTCCATGTTTTCATTCATCTGTTCAGTAATAGATCACAGAGTAAGAAAATGTGGTAAGAATGTCAGTGATGCACTAATAGGTGTGCCTTCTATACTACTTTTTGGTCCTTACCACATTTTCACCCTGCCTGTATGGACACAGAGCAACATAGAATTTTTTCATGAAGCATGTACTAATAATTTAAATTATGAGATGTTGATGATGTTTTGGGTTAATGTAACTGCATGTGCCTGTATTTTCAGCCCTGTCATACGGTCAAGCTGTTAACCATCTTGAAGCTGATGTTGGATAAACATGGTCCTGATGTTTATTTCAACTTTTCTGGTCAAGAGGGAGGGGTGAGTGGCCATGTTGCTTTTTTTAATGAAAGATGTGGAATTTAATTTTTTCAAATATGGATTAAGACACCAATCTAAATTCTGTTTGTGCTGAGGTTAAACCGTAGTGTAGTGACAGAGAAAAAGTTTTTAAAGTAGAGGTGAGTTTCTCGGTCATGATTTAGTAAGAATTGTTTTATGCTTACCATGACAGGCCATCACTTTGCCACCCATTTCAAAATGGCCACTGCAGTCAGGCTTTACATTTTCAACTTGGCTATGCCTTGATACCTCTCACCTGGCTAATGCAGAGAAGTGCAAGCCTTTTTTGTACTGGTAAGTCCATTTGTGAAATTTTATTTTTATCATTTAGGTTGAGAAAAATGATAAAGGAGGTGGTTTTAAAAGCAAAATATGTTTTGAGTCTTAAGAATTGTCATTTCAAGCAAAAATTAGTGATAGTTAATTATAATTGTTTGTGTTCAACTTTTTCATTGCAGTTTTCGGACCGGTAAGGGACTAGGGTATTCTGCACATTTCTCAGGACCCATGCTGGTCTTAGAATGTGCTGTGAAAACTGGAAAAAAAGAAAACAAAGTGCTTCATCACCTGGTTAAGTTTGAATTCCATCCTCAAAAGGTAAAAATATCATGCAACACCATTTTGTACCTTTCATTAAGTTGTGCTCACAGACACTGTTGAGATTAGCTAACCTAAATGTATGTGTACACTTATTTTCAATGCAGTCATGTGTATTGTACTTTTTTTGTCTCTTTTCCTCTTTCAGTGTCATTTTATATGCTATATTTCCTAGGAAAACATACTCTTTTTACAAAGACATGGCAACAGTAACAAGTTAACCATGCCACAAACAATTGCATCAAATAATCTTTTAATTGAAACTTGACAATTTTAGTCTGTTTGTGGATTTTTTTTATCGTACAGGTAGATAACAATCCTAGTAAATTTATAATTAAGCTTACTTCAGTATAATTAAGAAATTGATCACTGCTTTCTTTCCAGTGGTATATGGTCACTGTTGTACATGCATACAACAGATTTCATTCCAGTGAGATCCGATGTTTTGTGAATGGTAAAGTAGTTTCCACTGGGGAGACCACTCTGGTACATGCTAATGAGGTAATGATGCAACAAGCATACTTTTTCAACTCAATTATTTTTGTGTTTCAAGAGGGCTCGATAGAAAGTCGTTTATAATTGAAAATTTTGACTTTTGGAGTGGGAGATACACAGAGTGGTGGTACTTTTAATACTAGGTAAATATCATAGATTATCTCTCAGTTGGTACCTGCACTATGATTAGTCAGTCTGAAGGGGCATTCACTCTGTGGCCGGTTAAATTTAAAAAATTGTTTAAATAAAAATCTTCCCCCCTCTCTTTGAAACCAGAGATATAATTAATACCTTTGCTAACCTTGTTTTCTTGGTTGGTATTGTAAGGTATGGTAGATTGTTTTTATTACTTGCTTTGTGCTTAGGCCATAAATCAGAACTTACAGTACTGACCTTGAACTCAGTTATTTAGAGGTATTACTGAATGTGTTTGTTGGCAACAGCAAATAGCCCTTTGTAATGAGGAAAATGGGATGATTGTAGCTCAGAAAATTTTATAGCTCTATCTTACAATCCTGGAGACTGTTTTGCATCTTGAGTTCTGTCCTTTTTTTGTCATCTCTACCATATTGAACACTACTAAATTACCCCAATTTAGTATCACTTTTTTTGTATCTCTTTTTTGTGTGTGTTTTCACATAGATCAGTGACTTGTTGGAGAATATTTTGATAATCATACTTTGTTGTTTCTTCTTTGTTAGCCATTTGACAAGTGTTACATTGGTTCTTCACCCAAAGCAGATGTTCAAAGTGTGTTCTGTGGCCAAATGGCAGCAGTGTATGTCTTCTCTGAAGCTCTCAGTGCCCAGACTGTTGGTGCCATACATAGATTAGGGCCTTGGTACAAGGTTAGTTGTGACTGGCAGTGATGATATTGATCTGTTGTAGAAAATGTCCTCTCCCCACCATTGACAGTTGTTTTGGTTTTGCCTTCTCACTCTGGCCATTTGTAAATTGAACTTATGGTAACTGCTTTACTCTTTTTTCTTTTTGAGATTTTGAGTCTTTCCCTAGATCCTACCATAGAAATGTCTTGTTACCTTCCTTTGGGGGTTTTGATATTTATATATGGAGTTTTATCTGAAACATTTTAAGTGTTGCCAAGGTGGCTGTACATAGAAGTTTAAAAATTACTACTGTGACAGTAACTGTGTTAAAGAATGGCTATCTTAACTTTCCCTGGTGGTGAAATGATCACATGCCTTTAGGAAATGTGAGATTATTCCAACTGTTAGGGGTCTACTTTATGGTACATGGTATCAAAGTAATAATTAGGGTCAGTGTTTCTTTAGGAACAAAAGGATTGGGAGTGGTCATGTAATACAGTACAGTCATGTACAATTATAGGCTGGTCTGAATGACCTGGAATGTGTTCCCAATTATTCTATGTTTATTATTTGTTTTATCCCCTCCAGGGCCAGTTTAAATTTCCTGCTGAAATTGATACGCCGTTATCAGAGCAGGATAGAAAGGTATTTGGTTGTCTTGTATAGAACATGTAGTTGGTGTTTTTCATTTTTACTCAGTGAGTCTCTGATGAGTTCTCATGATCTTACCAGTATCAACCTGAGATGTTTTTCTACAATAAACCATACTGATAACCATTCTTGTTTTGATTCTTAATACAAGTGTCTGATGTTAGATACAAGTGTCCAATTTTAATACCTCATTTCAGACACTAGAGTCTGAAAACTGGGCTGTGTTTGAGCATAAATAAATAGGTTTAAGTGGATAAATTGACCAGCATCAGTTGGGAAATTATTCTGAGGCTTGTTGGTTGCATACTCTTGAACGGGTCTCTTAGCTTGTTATACTCTCCAACCACCCAGCACCACAGTTTCTTTAGAAACTAACTCCTTTATCCAAGTGTAGGATAAGCTCTGGCAGTGTTGACCACACAGCTTGTGTGTAAGGGGATGTCTTTGTCTTATTTTTCATGTAAAGTTCAAGTTTCTCAATTTTCTTTGATTTCTTTCTACCAGGTTTTGTATGAAGGCCACCTGTCAGCTGTTATCATGTTCATGTACAGTCCCAAAGCTTGCGATCAGCAGTTATGCCTGGAAGCTTCGCCCACTGAAAATCCATCCTTTTTCTGTCATTCACCCCATGCACTAATGCTAGAGGTGAGATTTGACCCATGCAGGCCCAGCTATGATTTTTGTGTCAGAGACAAAAAAATTAATTACTTAATTTAGTAATAGATTAGTGAGTGGATGAATAAATGATTAAATGAAGTAATCGAATTACGCAGCTTACCAGATGGCTCTTTGATCACTCCAAGGACAAATTCAAATTTGGAGTGATGCTTTTTGTTAAATTATCATCATCTTGGGATGTGAATTATGACATTTAAGCAGCTTGCTGTTAGCGTATTGCGTTAGGTTGTACGATACGATGACTGGCTGTGCATTTTACTTGTGTCTGTTTTAACAATAAATATAAATACCACCATTTAACAGAGGTACAATTTATCCTGTACTCTGGTTCTTTTCAGGGAGTGCAGTCTGTTGTCACACATTCTCTTCAGAGTATCCTTCACTCTTTGGGAGGAATTCAAGTGAGTCATTTTCACTCTCTTTTGTTCCTGTCGGGTGAAAGAAATAATCCCAGTTTCTTGTAGCCTTTTAGAAGCCTCTTGCAAAGCAAGAGGGCAACTTGAAGCTAAGAACATGTCCCCTCCATTTCAAAGATTACGTGTAACTCGAAAATCATAAAAGGTTTAGTCACTGGTGAAAAAAGAACAGTTCCCAAAGTAGACGGTTTTTCAGTCGTCTTCATGAAGACGATTTAAGTCTAACTCCTGAATTAGCTATACATCCTTCTCTTTGCTTTTTGCCTTCTGTTTGCCATTTCGTTTGATTGGTGGCGATTTGTCGGCTGATCGTCGCTCACCTGTCGGTAGCTTATCGGTAATCGTCAATCTGCTGTCGGTAGCCTGTCGGTAGCCTGTGATGAAAATGACTTAAATGGGGGAAAAAGTTAGTCCGAGTTAGCGGTAATCGTCATTTATAGTCAGCGGTAATCGTTATTTATGGTTATTCTGTTTAAAAACACAGTAAATGAATGAAACCGTATCAAAGTTATCGAGGGAAACGAGTTGCAAAGTTGACTTACCACCAGACTCAAGTTACCGATGGTTTGGTTTGAGTTGTTGGGACTCGTCTGCAAATAACTATTGCTTGCGATCATTCCAATGAACTACAGAGCTTAAATGGAAGGTTCTTCATATTTATTGAAAGTTCAGTTACTGATGGGTATGATAACTTCCTTTCAGATGCTGCTGCCATTGTTCTCTCAGCTGGATTTCCCTCAGGAAGGAAGTGGAGAAGCTACTGAAACTCCTGAATTAGCAATCTGGTGAGAAATGATAGTTTTAGATGTAGCTAACATGGGGTTATTGGTATATTAAAGAGAGTGTTTGAGATAGAAAGGCAACCACAGGGTCGGATCCTTTGCACACATGGTATATTACTGAAGCGACATTGTTATTAAATCCATTTTTAAACGAATGTCCATAGTAATCTGGAATCGTATTGGTTTTTCTTTACGTTGCTCTCTGATTGGTCCAGAAAACTCGCGCCACTATCTTAACCAATCAGATGTAAAACTGTAACTAATCATGACTTGGTCATCTGCGTTTTCCCGCGCTTTTGGCAGTTTCATTTGGTTTTAGTTGAGTTCTCATTGGTTGTTAAGGGCTATTTGCATTTCTTTTTTTCAATCGCCTGTAGTATCGCTTGGCTGCTGTGGAGACTTTTAAACTGTGCACTTTGCTATATAGTAAATGCGATAAGTGAAAAGAGAGCAAAAAGGCTAATTCGTTTTTTGTTTGGTTGTTTGTTTGCACAGTACTGTACTTCTGTCACTTCTGTCTGATCTTCTGAGGAGGTCTTGCACAAGCCAACAGCAGATGATTCAGTGTCAGGGATTTCTTGTCATCAGTCACGTTTTAGAAATGGTAAAAAAAATCGCTTTGCTTCTCTGTTTCTGTCGTTTTTGTCTATTTTACATATTTTTTCATCTCTGTTTTGATTAGCCTCAGTAAGCTCGGTTTCCAGCTGATTCCGAAAATGCAATCGAGGCAAAGGGCCTACGTAGGACCTACGTAATATTGGTGGCCTGACCATTCTCTGTTTCTAAATTTTCAGTTACCATTCACCTTTTATTATGGCTTACTAAAACTGGGAGATAAAACTTCCGCTCTCTATAGTTCATTGTCTCCTTTGCAACCGTCTTTTGGATGGTCGTGCAACTTTGAGAGCGTAGCGCGAATCAACGGAAAACGTCTGTGAAGGAGACGGTTTAGTTCCTTGCTTTTAACGAAATATATTTTGTGTGTTTTTTTTTCTGTCTCTCCCACAAGGCTGTTAACACTCACCTGACAGAGGATGCACTGGATATTCTTCTTTCCCTTGCAAGGTTTGCATTGTAGAGATGTCTTCAATTTAGTGCCGAGAGAAACCCGGGATTGCTTTGATTCTGGCTCTCTGCGTTTAACGATTAGCTTTGAAAACATGTTTATTATTATTTTTATTTATTTTTATTTTTTTCATTGCAGGCATCTCTTAAGTTCTTCAGGTTCAGGGGATCTCCTGGGAAGTCTCTTAGATCACATTCTTTTTAACCCAAATTTGTGGGTGAAAGCGTCTTCGAAGGTAAACATCCTTTGTACTCTGATATCAGCCTAAGGTGGAATTACTATACAGATGCGGAGGCTTTTTCAACGTGAATACTTTCAACAAAACGCACTGTACATGTAGACATAGTCAAAACATTTTGATAGATTCTCTGTGAAAAGACAAGCTTTTCCTTCATTGTACTCTTCATGCAGGTCCAGCTTCAATTGTTCAGTGTGTTTGCCACAGACTTGGCCACAGGAACTGGCTGTGCTGCTCACTTGCGCCACGATGTTGGGGTCAGCAGACTTATGTACATGCTTAAGACGTTTTACTGGCTCCATGACGCCCCTGAGTTGGACCACGGTAAGGCTGTTGTATATGCCTCTCCCAAGCTGCACCGATCGCATTACTTAAACACTGACCAACTAATTAATGAATTAACAAAAATATAATTATTTGATAGTAACAGGGCAAACCTAAAGACGATATTTGAAAAGATTTACATCAGCAAAAAACGCTTGTCGACGAAACTCGTCGATGGAAAGGTTTTCTCTCCCCTTACAAATCTTTTTGTTCAAATACTGGCGTGAAAGATTTTGGACAAGGGAGATTTTCATGAAACTTAATGTAAGTTTCTCTTGAACTAGGAATCTGTTGACTTGGCCGCAGCTCAAGTTTCCTTTCCGTTGTTAAAAGATGAAAAATCGACTTTATGATGACTCAGGTGTCAGCAGTTGATTTTTAAAAAGCGTTTTCTGCGATCACATGTTCGACTTTATTTTTGTTTGTATCTTATTGTAGACAGCCGAAGGCCGTCAAAAGAAGAAATCCATTCTCTGAGGGCGTTTTTGCTTCTTTTGGTAAAACAACTAGTTCTAAAGGTAGGTTGTAAGTCCATGGCAGAACTGGAAAGAATGAAGTGCATGACAGTTTTCATCTTGTTGTTTGAAGTTCTTTTATAACCCTTTGTTTCATATTTTTGTGTTTGTAGGACAAGGGAATCACTGAGGAAGAGTTTAAAAGTATACTTTCCTACCTAATGATTACTAATGAGGTATGATTTTTTTTGTTAGTAAAATCTTGTTTTCGCAAGCATTAGATTAAAAAATGTGAGAGGAAAAGTGATGCAAAGCTTTCCTTTGGCTATCTCTAAGGCTCTTATGTTTCTATTTTTTTTTCGTGTGTGTACAACAGGAAGAGAATCTATTGGATGTGCTTCAACTGGTCCTATCCATCATGACAGAGCAGCCAGATACTTGTATCCCTGTTTTTGACAAAGTTGATGGGCTGAGGTGAGCTTTCCAGAGTCCTTGTCATTTTTTTTCTTAATGTAAGCGCTATTGTAAGGTATTTAGTTGTTAAATAGGCATGTCTTTTCATAGCGTGCTACTCTGAGTAGTAAGTTAGAGTGGTAAGTTTCTATAGAGATAGTGGTGCTGCGTCGGTGGGGCTGGAACGACTGAAGTGATAATGTAAATTTTCCACCGTAAAGAGTTTCTAAACCTGATATTTCGAGCGTTTACAATTAGCCCTTCGTCAGAACGAAGGTAAAGTGGGCTTTGGGCCACTTCTGAGCATAACTTGCGCGCGTTACACGCAAATTCGCGTTTGAACCTGTTCAAACGCATAGATTCGCGGCATTTTTTAACTTGTGTTTTACCGAAATTATTCTGTTATAATGATGTGGATTTTCAACTTGGTTTCTCTTTTGCAGAGTTCTGTTTCGGTTTCTGGACATGAAATCGGAGGCAGTGAGAGTTTATTCTTTAAAGATCGTTGGCTGTTTCCTTCAGTTTTGCCCGGCAAAGTGAGTGTTTTATTTCTCGATATGACTACTGCGTTCAGTTTTAATTTCCCATTTTTTTAGAACTTCGTCGTTTAAGATAACATTGAGAACAAAGAATGTCTTTGCATTCTAACCATGTGAGTTGTCTTTGTGAGCTTTCTATAGAAGACTTCACGAATGCTATCATGTGGCGCGACACATACGTTCCTTACTTTCAGTGGCACTTCAGCAACAATCACCAAGGAGTCACTCGGTTTTCTTAGGTTGTTGAATATTCGAGAGTACTCGGAAATACTCAGGAACATTTGGGAATACTTGGAAATACTCGGAAATACTCGGGATTAAATCGGTATTAGCCCTAGGTTCGTGGGACTAGTCATGATTTCCGTCTTTTTATGGCTCTTTTGGCGTCGGCTCAGTCCCCGCAGAGTGGTTGATTATCAGGTCGTTTGCTAGGAACCCCACTCAATTCTTCGTTTCGTTCTGTTTGTTTACAGGAGGAAGCAAGACTTGTTAGAACACTACAGCTTGTTCTCTTTGATTGGCGAAAAACTCATGAAACATTCGCTGACGCTTACCACTTACAATGTCTTGTTTGAGGTATGTTAATCTTCTTAGTTAGCGGTTTTGTGTGCGCTTTAATATCATTGAGCGGCGAAGCCACGAGAGGCTTGGGAAAAAATAATTTTTTTCATCGAGCTACTCGTGTTCTGCTTAAGTGTGTGCCAAATACAGGGCACTGTAATTCTACTTGGGTGTTTGTCCGATATAGGAACTTAGTAAATCGCAAATTACTAAAGCAGCTACTAGTTGAAAGGGAACAATCACAACCGCCTTACATAAATCAAAGAAAAGAAGTTTAACGGTGTCTTTTTGTATTTAGATCTTAGTGGGTCGAGTCTCCAAGCAGGTAGTCAGCGGACATCACCCACAACCTGACAACACATTTCTTTTACATAATACAAGTAAGTTTGTACAAATTGTATTTGAGGAGACTGTTTTACTGTACTATATTTTCTTGTGAAAACTTAATTGGAAATCCAATCGTAACGGTTTATCTGCTCCATTTTCGTCCCAGCAATGGCGAATGTTATTGCCAAGATGCTTCGCAAGAGCGAAGGTAAACAGTGCAATGCGGGGGTGAAGCTGACGAGACAGGGAAGCTTTAAAGAAGATCGAACACCAGATGAGGAGAAAGTGGATCTTAAGAGAAAATTCCTTTCTGATCTTGTTCTACTTCTTAATCATAGCAAAATTAACAGAAGGTGAGTTCAGAGCACATGCAACACCCACTGTTATGAAGAAACTTAAGTTCCAATTTCTTTTTTGTAACAGCGTTCAGGGGCAATTCATTTTCATGGAAAGAAATATGTGATAATAATCATTAGACACTGGTGAAGTTTTTTTAGAGGTTTACAAGAATTAGAATTTCTTTCATTCTAGAATTTAAACCGTGAATGTTAAATGAAATCCCACCCTATCTTTTGTTTTTGCAATTTTCATTAAGAATCTATCACGTATTTTCCAATGACAGTATTGCATGCTGACATTGGCTGATTGCGTTGCAAATTTTGTTTTGAGGCTACACAATGTACTCGTTGTTTTCCTCTCAACCCGAAGGCGCTCGACATTCAAGATTAGAAACTGCCTGGCCAGACTGGTCAATTTATAAACGAGTGAGCATTTTTCTCCCAGAGTTTCTCTTAATTTTCTTTACAACTTCCACAAAAATATGGCCCCCTTCGCCGTCCTTGTTTGGTTTCGCTTTTGCAACGCGTGCTTTGCATTACAGGTTTGAATATGGGCTGCGAATGGTACCAATAACAATGATGTTTGTAAATGATTTTGTAGCCGGACAGTTCTAATCAAATTACAAGTATCATGAAGATTGGAATGTTGCCCTTATCAGAGAGAATTCATCATATTTAGTTACTTGTATTTTTTTTTCAACAGTCTTATTCTCCAGCTTTCATGTTGGCAAGATTGGCTTTTCTCCTTAGCACACATTGAACCCTCAAACCCAGGTAACACCAACAGGTTCATGTGGGTTGACTATGAATAATATATTAACAATAGTGCAGTTTTCAATTGAGTGTCGAGAAGAGAAACAAAACAAACCAAAACAAAACCATAGTTATCTCAGCGACCAATCTCAACGATAGTTCACTTCATCATCAGCCAATGAGAACTCAAATTGCAACCAAGCACATTGCTTGAAGCGAGGAAAACGCTTAGTTTTGTAGTTGATAGGTTTAGAGGATCGGGCGAGTTTTCCGAACCAATCGCAGCAAAAATAAGTAAAACCAAAGCAACCGCGGCTTAGTTTTGACAAAATTGAAATTTTCGCTATTTTCGTGCAAAATTGTAAGTAGTGTGTATTGTTGCTGTTCATGTTTTTTCAAGTCTGTCCAAGAACGTGGACACCTACTCAAATTTCTACCAAAATATTTCATGATGTGAAGTGGAGTCATTGTTTTCTTAACCATCATTTCGTCTATTCTGTCATTTTTTTTAGATGAAAGTCGCACTACGGACACTGTGTTCTGCCTTTTTCGTATGCTTCTTCATCACGCTTTCCAGGAAGAACGAGAGGGCTGGAGGATCTGGGTCGACACGCTGGCTATACTGCACGGCAAGGTATGATATAAAGTTGTTATTGCCGTATGAATTCCTTGTATCTTGAAAGAAATCGAAAATTGCGCATCTTTTGGGTTAGGGTTGTTGTTAAACGATAGTGTCCAAGGTTGTGTGCATATCACGAGGGAGATAACTAGCTCGTTGTGTGGAAGACGGATCAAGGTGTTTGCGTTTGTACCCGGGCCGGTCGAGTAAACCGCAACGGAAACCTGTCTAAATGCGGAGGGGTATAATGGAGTGGTTGGGGTTAAACTGGGACAAACCTGCGTCCTATCCAATTCGAATGAGTGACTACACTCGGTACACGTTCGGTAGTTGTGAGCCATTGTGTTCTTATCTCCAACTTTACTAACAAACCCTTACACTGTATAACATACGAAGAAAAAGCTCGCGAAGTAGTCTTTACTTGTAGGTGAGTACATATGAAAAAGAGAAGCAAAAATTTGGTCTGAAACAAGTGGACGAAGCTACTCCCAATGCGGTTAGCAGTCCAGAACACGTCAAACAAGGTGCTGAAGTTCTTCCTAATGCGGACAAGAAATCTCCGGTTACTAAGTCAGCGGATAGTGATGTTGATAGAAAGAAATTTTTCCAATCACTTTTGCAAGGTAAAAATGGACCTAAAGTAGAACCAACGGTTCCTATAACAATTCCAGAGGAGAGTGAAAGTGAACCCAATTCACCCGACCGCGAGGAAGCGAAAGTTAGCACTAACGTTTCCACTAATAATGTTAAAACTGTGGCTATGAACGATGACAATCACAGCCCATGTAATGAGAACGGTGATGTAATAGTTGGACATTCTGAGGAAAGCCACTCTAACATCGAGGGCTCCCTCAGTACTACCGGTGTGGGCTCCGAAATTAGAGGGTCTGCAGTAGCTGAAAAGTCCGAGGACCCAAGGACACATTTACCTGATAAAGGGCTTAATTCAGATACAAATGAGAATGGAGAGAGTCAACAAGACAAATCTCATGTCTCGGAAAGTGTCACTGAGGATGAAAAGGATGAAGGTGTAAAAGAAAACTCCTCGAGTGGATCTTCGACTGGAGGAAATTTAACGGTTACTGACCAATCAGAAAAGGCTGACGAGAAGGCAGAGGTAGCACCTCTTAAAAACGAAAACATTGTCAGTATCGAGGAGGTGTCTGTTAGTGAAGAAAATAATGATAAGAAAACTGAAAATCTGACATTAAACGATTCCGAGAAAGAGCCCGAAAACTATGTTAATTCTAGCGGAGGTCAAGATTTATTAAACGTGAAAGATGAACCAAGAGATGTTGATAACAGTTTAACGATTGCTGTCAAGAGTTCGTACATAGGGGCGCCGATCGAAACGAGTGAAAATACTCTATCGAACTGTAAAGCTACGGAGGTAGTTGTACGATCGGAGACCGTCGACCATTCTAAAGGTGTTATCATTAACGAAGGTGAAAGTCCGGCACAAGCGGAAGGAAACAATGATGAAAAACGTTCTGTTGATGATTCAACCCCTGGCAGCCAACCGAGCTCCCCTACCAGCACTTTGGAGACTGAGGCCGAATCGAGCCCAAGGTCAACTTCTTCTGCTGGGGCCGTAGGGACTGGTAACCCGGGCTCACCCAATCAGAAGTCATCTTACAGAGCATATGTGAATATTCCAGAATATTTATGGTCTCCTATTCACCAGAGGTTGCTTGCGGACCTGCTCTTTGCTATTGAGTCCGACGTGCAAGTCTGGAGAAGGTTGGTTCTAGAACAAAGAATAGTGATGAGAAACATGTAGCCTTTAGCGTATCGATAACAACTACAAGCAGTGTTTTTGTTTAAGGTTAAAACACTGAAAGCTTCCTGTGCGTTACCCAGAATGATTTCGTCCTCTTCAGGACTGAGCCGAGCTTTAGACGATGAGAATGCGAACACATGAATTTCTGTACATCGATTGCATGCAGAAGAAAACATGGGAGGCTCGTTATGAAAAGGTTACTCTTACGACAAGATTCTGTAGCATGAGGTGATCTCGGGTGCTATTACTTACTCCTGGACAGGAGGTATGTTCATAGCAGACATCCAGAAGGAGTGGCAGTACTCAAAATGGCTTCATGCCTTAGAAACCTTGTAAGAGTTACCTTGAACAAGACGAAGCTATTATCTTTCGCTATAGTTCGTCGTTCGTTTAGAATGCGGAGAGTCGTTATTGCATCCTCATTGGATATTAAAATTTCTTGCATGTTCCGTGGTCCTTACGAATGAATATATGTCCTTTTTAATTTGTTCGACGCCTGACCTAAAAATTAACTATTTTACTGCTGCTGTTTTGCTCACTGCCTTTCGCTTTATTCTAGCCACAATCGTAAAACTGTAATGGACTTCGTTAATTCGAAAGAAAATGGAACATATCTGTGGAACTTGGCTCACTTTGTATCAGTGTTGGCGGATAACGTCATTTTCTGTTGCGGGGATCTCCTGCCCCTGCTGTCTTCCGTCACGTCACGTGATTACGGTCAAGACGTCATTGAGCCTTGCGGCGGGATGACCTTGGAAACGAGTTTCTCCTTCTTGAATCGACTGATGTCTCTTGTGGATGTGATAGTTTTCACCAGTTCCCTCGCGTTCAGCGGGGTGGAGGCCAACAGGAACATGAGCACGGGTGGATTTCTAAGGCAATGTCTTAGGCTAGGTGAGGCAGTCCGTGAAATGAATGTACTAGTAGAAATAACCTTGTGGAACCCAGTGAATCACACGGATCGTCGTAGTTGTCTCAAAAATTATCGTAACAATAGTAACGATCGGAATGGAAATCAAGCCAAAAGAAAGTGATTGATGATCTCTTTCACTCGTAAGATCTTAGCCGTTATACTCTATTTTACCCTCCTTTCTTTCGGGCGGAATCGTGAATAGTCGTATAAACATCAACTGAGCTGAATTTCTGATTCTAACCTGGTTACTTAACTATAAAGGGCCTATATAAGTGACTAATATACTTTTTTGTGCCATTATTACTTTACTTTTTCCTGTCTAGTGTTTTGTTGCGCAGCACGTAACCGTCTCGTGTGCCGGCAGCGCAACAGACCCATCCTTCCGGTGATTACAAGTGCCAAACTAGGAAAGAAAGCGTTGAAGGAAGCGAGGCAAGCGATCAAGACGCTTATCGCTTCTACAAAACCCCCAAGTGAACAGGTAATGATTTAGGGGTAAGCACTTGATTTCTCGCTCTTTCCTAAGATACAAACAATTCATCAATCAGATCAATATTGCGGAAAAATCCGATCTTTGCCAATGAAATCGGATTAGGAAGCAAAACGATACAAATAATTCGTCAATCATAAATATTGCGAAAGAATCTGGTGTTTGCCAAAGAAATCGCACTAGAAAGCAAAACGAACTTGGTAAAAGACCTGGTATTTGACACATTAAAATTTTGTCGATAGACAGCAGTTTTTTCCCATTAATAGCACTTTTTCCCATTAAAAACGTCAAACTGCAGTGCTGCTCACGTCCCTTCTCTGTGTCTTAAGGATCTTGTCCAGAACATACCCGGTCACATGACCACAGTCACTGACCCGGAGAAGTTGCTTCAGGAGATGGATGTGAACCGTTTACGCGCTGTTGTGTACAGAGACTTTGAGGACAGCAAACAGGCTCAATTCCTGGCCTTGACTGTGGTGTACTTTATAGCTGTTATGATGGTCGCTAAGTACAGGGATCTTCTTAAGTCTGAAGACTCCGATGCGCGAGCGAGGTTTCACACGGTGGCCAGTCCAGGTGCGTGTTGAAGTATTCGTGTATAAGATACGTGCGTGTTTTGTGCACGAGGATGCGTAAATATGTGTATGGGCGCAAGTGCGCGCGAAGGCAAAGGTAAGAGTCACTGCGTTTATATCATGAAGTGTATGTGCGAATGTACGCGATCCTTGCGTTTTGTGCGTGTTTCGTCGTGGGTGTTTTTTGTTGTCGCGCGAGTAAGCAAGCGTCTGCGTTACAAAGTGTTTACAGCAAAGAGTCCTTGGTCTTCACCTCGTTGAGGGGTTGAAAAACTGGACTCATTGGAATCGTCCTCTTGACCCAGAGGAAGAAACCGTCTTAAAATAATATTTCCTTAGGAGAGAAAAACGTCCGAGGTAAAAATTATTTCAAGGGAAACAATGATGCCCAAGAATAGGTAAAGATTAAAACATAACAAATGATTGATAACTGTGTAGACGCCCAGATTTAATTTCTTCTAAGGAAGCCCCTCACACCGCTTTGTGAAAATGTAAATTTATTTTTTTAGGTCGTACTATGTCAGAAGGTGAAGTGCAAGGTCTATCTGAAAATCGCTCCCGAGCGGCAACCTGGGGAGCTCAGCGGAGCGCTTCGGCAGATGTGGAAGGAGATGACGTGTTTTCGTGGGAAGACGCGGAACCCACTATACCCAGTTTCCTGAAAGGCTCGGTCGACTTCAACCGCTTGAGCCTATCAGAGAAACTAGAACTGGGGTTCAAGTCATCTGGGTCTCTTCTCAAGGAGGTCCTGCTTGATTTCAGCCCGTTTTTGAGCCGGGTCTTGATCGGAAGTCACGGACAGGAACTGGTGTTGGAGGGCCTTTCATGTCAAAAGACAGACTCCATTGTAGAGTTGGTGATGCTGTTGTGTTCGCAGGAATGGCAGAACTCTTTGCAGAGGTTAGTGTTGTTTAATGAACGTTTTCGTGTTTTTGAAAAACTAATTCGCTGAGCCTAATGTGGTAGTTAATCATTCACGTGTTTTCATTGGATGAATGAGTCGTTAATACACGAACATACGAACTAGCTCACGCGTTCGTGAATTATTATAAAGCCTGCTTTCAGGAAGCTCTAACCTTTGAAACTCTTTAATTAAAATTTTCCTTTTTTTAAATCCTTTGCGTTTCTAGGCACGGAGGAATGGCTTTTATGGAGCTTGTCAATGAGGGCAGACTCTTATCCCATGCGATGCGTGAGCGTATTGTCATGACAACAAGCGAGGCGTTTGTGATCGTTAGCAAGCTAGACGAGATCTCCCGTCAGAAGCATTTGCAGTTTGTTGAACTGTGCCGCTTGACTGAAGCTACATACAACGAGAACGACAAACTTCAAGACCAGCTGTTACTCGCTACCAAAAGGAGAGATTTCTCAGTCGCCAGGAATGTCATCCAGAAGGTGAATAGAGTTGCTAGTTTTTGCTATTCTTGTACCTTTGGCAAGCAACCACCTGAACTGTTCAGTGATAAAGTTGTAGCATGGCTTAGGAGAGCCTCGGGTGGTCATAGAGGGAGGCGAAACTGGGGTACTGCTATGGTAAAAAGGGAATTTCTTGACATCTGATTATAAAAACATTCAGAACTGGTGCGCAGTGCGCGAGAAAATATGCCGTCAGTTTGAAGAGCGGGAAAGCTTTACAATTGACCCTCAACTTCAAGCAAAAATAACGGCGTTGCTTGCAATCTAAAGACGCATATGAGAACTTTTTCAGGCTATGTTTGCAAGGTTAAGTATTTTTTTTTTTAGTGGGTAACTATCCCTTAAGGTCAATTATTTCTCCCAGGTTCTTGACATAATAACCAGTGAACAGGGCGCATGGGCAGTGGAACAGGAGCCTGCAAATGTACAGTTTTACCGACTGGATATGTGGGAAGATGATAGTCGTCGGCGCATGCGCTTTGTTAAGAACGAACATGGGTCGAGTCATCCAGAGGCAACATTGCTGGAATCATTAGAAGGTGAGACATTGAATGAATCATGATTACAATTTTTCAGTCGTGCGAGCGAAGTCATATTTAATTACGTTCCCATTTAAATGTTTCAATACCGCGTCATGGAGGTCGCGTGCATAAATGTTGTATTGGAATTTTGCTTAAAATATCATATTACTTGTTATTGCGGGTGGGAAACTGGAAATAGTTAAGGCAAACTATTGAAGGGATGACGTCATTTAACAGCGAACTTGACTCCTGTTAATCCAACTCAAGCCATATTGGTGAAAAGCATGTAGTGTTACCAACAACGGCTCTCGCAGCTCCTTGCAAACCCTGCCGCTGTAGTTTTTCCTTCACAGTTATTCTGCCTTCATTGTATAATAGGAGACCATGGATTAACAGCTGCCCCTCAACCTCTCAACTTCGCCAAAATTTCTTCGGCCAAAGCCGAGGATTCCTACTCGTTGAACGAAGAAGAAATAGCAGAAATGGTCATTGAAGACCGCAGCATGGGTCGAGATGTGTCCGGTCACGTGGTGTTCACAAGTTCATGTCACATGATTGCACCCTGTGTGGTGGCCCCTGGTACTCTGACAGTGACGTCAGAGGCATTGTTTTTCACTGTAGACGAGGAAAATCCAGAATATCAGAAACTGGACCCAAAGGTAAGTCCTTTTTTTGTTGCTTTGGAATTTCTAACTGGTGTGAGTACTATTTAAGAGGCTATATTGATAAACTGACTCTACATCGTAAGACCTACGATTAAACGTTTCATTTATCCACAAACTTTGATGAACAACAACATTTTCTATAACATCACGAATTTTGCTCCTTGAAAGTATGTATCCGACATCTCCAGGTCGTCATTTTCAATCCGTTTGCCCTAATTTGTGTTCGTCTAGCCTGTCAAACTAGCATGAAGTATTCTCCTCCAGGTTAAAGTTGTTAAAGTTTGCAAAGCGCTACAAAATGCTCTGACAACATCGTGACCTTTTCCCGACGTGCGGAAATTTCGAGTCTCTTTCGAAGTCCTCGACGATGTTTGGAAATTTTCGGAAGTAGTCGAAAATCGTCAGAAGTAATCGGAAATCGTTGGCAGTAATCGGAAATCTTATTTGACAAGTTACCACTGGATCGGAGTTTAATATCATCTTCTTTCACAGACACCGAGGTAGTTAATTGTTTGACTACAGATTAAACGGAGGATTAGTTTTCTCCCTTTTTAAAAAATTACTTCGTATTGCGTGGTCTTTGTGTTGAACAGTCGAAAGTTTACCATAGATTAGAAAAGAAGAAAAAGATATTGTATCTATGTTTTACTTATTTTTGTCGTGTAATTGTTCACTTATTTGTCTCCCACTAGCCAATGCCTATTGTTTGGGTTACCCTTGACTAAAATTAGGGGAGTTTAATTTTTTTTAGGTCTGTTCAGTTCCCATGGGTGGCGAAAGTACTGGACGCTGAGGAAAATAACTCTCCTCAACAAATTCGTTTGACTTTGAAAGTTCTCATGTAGTATATAAACCCTTCCCCTTCCCCTCCCCCCATGTTTCACATTGTTTACGGCGGTGAGGGTTGGGGAGAAGGAGGTAAATTCTAATACGTTTTAACGGGAAAACACCAAAGCGTGCCTAGACGTTTGCCACTCACGGTTGCTTTTTTGTTTTTGTTTTTTTTTTTTGTTTATCTCTCTTTTTACTTTATTGTAATCTGTGAAATCAGCAAATAAAAGTAAATTTAGCTTTTTCATCTATTTAACCCAAGTTGTCGATCTTTCATTTTCCATCAACGTTACAGCTGAAAGGACTCTTGTGTTCCGTACTTTTTGAAGTCCAAATTCTCTACATACCCTAACCCTGTAACTCCCAGAACAAATTTGTAATTCTCCTTACTTTCAACTATACAATTCCTATGATGTTAGCTCACAGAATTTAGTACTAGATCAACTAATTTTCCCTTAATTGATGTTTTTCTTTATTCTCATCACTTATCTGGTTGATATTGTATTGATATTGTAAGGAGAAATTCTGTTGTGGTCACTCATGGGAGTTAAAGGGTTAAACAATCCACTTTTATCCGCGCCTTTCTTAGTTGAGCGTATTGATGATAAGTTCTTTCCGTATGCTACGTAATTTTGACAAAACGCAAGCAGTTTACATTGAGTGTAATTTATTTAGGTTTTTCCCTTATCATTTTTGAGTTTCTAGGTTTAAGCGATTGGCATGTCCTGAGTTTTGGTTGCTAGAGGGGAGATCTTTTACCTGCGCGGATTTAATGTTAGCCCGGCAATTTAACAACCTCTTGGGTTAAAAAAAAGGATATTGAGTTCTGAATCATAGATTTTGGAAGACAAATTTAATTACTTCGTCCGATTATTGCCCCCCTCGAGTTTCACGAAATTGTTTTGATTTTTGCCTTTAATTCTCCTTATTGGTTTTACTTAAAAGCTTTGATGGTGCCGCATGTAGTAATTAAAAAATAAGCGTGTGCCTTGTTTTATTCCTATTATGGGTAAACTTTGATATCGAAGTATTTTGGTTTTATTTTAGAAATTACGCTTTCGAAGATTGGACAGAAAAAAAAATTCCGTGTTCTGTTCGTTACCTTTCCCTCAAGTATTATAGTTGGTAACTGGCTGTTGGCTCTACTTAGCGTTGAATGTTAAGTCAATGTTGGAAGTTTTTTTTTTATTTAATACAGATTGCATAAAAAGGAGGTGTCCAACTTGTCACTTAATGATTTGTGGTCAATTTATGGTGCGATGTTTGAAGCTTGTTTTTGTGAAGTTAGTTCAGCCAACCAAATTTACCCACCTACCCTGCACGAGGTCGGAGGCTTTTGTTCGCCATTGTCGAACATTATGATTTAAACTCGTACTTCGCGTAAACATCAACTCGATATAGCTTTAAGTTCCAATGAAAAGCCTCTTCCTCTCGTTTGAAACTGATTTTTCTTTCTGATGTCTTCCGCTTGAAAATTGTCGTTGCGGTGTTAGTGCTCATGATTTTCCTAATTTACAACTAACTTGAATTTGATTTGATTCCTGTTCACCGCGGGCAGTTTTTATTTTCCATGCTGTTAAATCCATAGGTCTGTCGGTTTTTTGTTCATGCTATGGGTTATCCTTGTTTGATTATGCTAAGTCGGCATGCGGCAACTTCAAACGGCGTGTCGAGCGATTGACAGCTTGTCACCGCTGGCTTTCCAATGGCTTTTGGGCTTTACGTCAGCAACAAATAATGCTCATTGAATGCTTTTTCGAGGGAACAAGCTATTATTCGGTCTAGTTAACCTGTTATTAGAGAATCTATTTCATGTTTCGTCATTTTTGTTTATGTTTTTAGAGTGGATGCTTTGTGCTCTTTCAGAATGAGTAGATGACTTGTGTCCCTTTTTCCAATTCGAACAGGTGTCGGTGATCCAGTTTTATTAAAACCTGGTTTGTAGTGCGGGTAAAGTTGAGCCTAGAAATTACATGCAAAACTGTAAACAACAATTCGCAGGAAAATTTAATCGCAATTACTCTGACTCGTATTTATTGTGACATCAAAGGTGCTAGATGAATGCTCTATTTTTGGTTAATACAAATGCTGCCGAAAGCGTAGTCTTGACAAATTCAAATGAAGGAAAATTACGCCAATTTGACGTCGGGAAGGGGCAATTGACTCTAACATTATGAACTGTTCCTTTAGCCTGGAGGCAGAAATATTTTAACTGTGAATTAGAAACGACTTTGTTTATTGTGGAGGCTTAAGGTTTCTCCTTCTTGTCACCTATTTATCAGCTATTATCGGCTTTTGAACACACACACACTTTCAAGACGAGGTGCTAAACGCGTGTTGATATGTTTATTAGGATTTCATTATCAAATTGCACTTCGCAGCTTTTGGCGACAGCGACGAAATTATAACAGCCAATTGTGATGAACAGTCCAAAGACTTTTTGAAAGCCTAAATTAACAGCTCGTGCGTTTTAATAAATTCACCTGCCGGCTTCTTCCTCTTCCCTGTGATATCGCTGTCATTTTCTCGTGCTTTTCTTTATTGTCGCCGTTGTTTGTTCTCGATTTATTGCTTTTCGTGCTCGCCGCAGACAAATTGTTTTAAACGTAATAAACGTACGGTTATTAAAACCGTGATAAACAATGAAAATCGGGTAAAAATGATTTTAAATGGTTGTTACCTTGCAATGTATGAAATAGCTTTTGGGATGCGACTTCCTTTTTTACGATTGTTCATGTGCTAGTCAATGTCTCATTTTGAGAAATATCTCAAGTTGCGGAATAGATAGCTTAATGTTTTAAACCAGGCAACAGTCGCCGAAAGTTTCAATATCGCAAGCAATAACACGCAGGCGGTGGGCGGTCTGTGTTTAGAAAGTTTAATAAGATAGGTAAATGACTCGGCATACAGCAAAGAGATGCAAAAGGGCTTTGGTTTAGCCGATAAAATTGAAAACATTGCGACCGCCTTACCTGCTGAATTTTTCCAAGAACGTATTCTAGGCATGCGGAGAATTTGTTTTTAAGTGCTTGTTTTTGAAGGGGACAGAGTTCAGCGTTCGTGAGGGACAGCTGTGGTCGCGATTTGCGCTCTTTCGCGGCCCATAATTTACTCAAGATTGTTGACCCCCGGTATTTTATTGGTGGAGAGTCGGTCCTGCTTATTGTTCCAGAGATTAATAGCCGCTGACAGCTTCAATTGGTCCAACTGTGTCACGTTAATACTACAGACTGGAAAGTAGTCGCCTTAAAACGCATCCGTCGAACAGACAACGCATCGGAGTGCCGATCGCATGCGGTACTCTCACTCCTACTAATGATGGCTTCTGTATTTCCTGAACGCCGTGCGAGTTTACAAAAGTTTGTCAACACCCGGGTACACAGGCGGAAAACCGAGCTTTATAAAACCATAACAAACATTTGTTCAGTGGTTCAGGAGTTATTGAAGCATGTGGAAGGCCTAGAGCCACGCTTCATCTCGTCTCTGAAACTCGTGGATGGAAGATATCAAGGGGTTAGAGCATTATCTCCCCGCAACTTCGAAGTGCATTTATACCTGAATCAAATGGGAGTTTTTAATTTTATCGATGAAAGCTGCCCGCCCGGCTGTGCAATGTTGAAACTCAGTGATGAACGGAAGCGCTCCATGTCTCTTTGGACAGAGTTTATAACGGCTTCTGGCTACCTGTCCGCTAGAAAAGTGCGCTCGCGGTTCATATCTTTAGTCGCGGAGGCAATACGGCGCGGAGAACTTCAGAATCAAATTCGCGTCAACGTAGACAATCATTTCTCGGCGAAACTCACAGTTTTGGAGCGTTACACTGTAGAGCTGATCCCAGCGTTTCGTTGCGGCTCTATCTGGCCGCAGAACGGATGTTGTTGGCCAAATCCTGATACTATATGGCCTCCACAGCCGGTAATAGCCGGCATTAAGCTACGAGGGTTTTCGTTGCTGGCACGAGATCCGTATCCGAGTGTCAAAGGCGCAGGGTCTGAAGGTGATGCCTGGCTACTGTGCTTCTATGACGCCGAGGACATGCTCTTCGCAAACGGCGGGCGAAGGTTGTGTCTTAGCATGTTGAAAACTTTGTACGACAAGCACCTTGATTTACCCGGAAAGCCGTTGGAATATGTACATCTAGTGATGCTGTTACTCTTTGAATGCGAAAAGCATCCCAGAGAAACAGAATGGACCGACGAATCGCTTATTGATCGCATCAATGGTATTCTTCTGCAGCTCGTGTCCTGCCTGCAGTGTCGAAGGTGCCCCCATTTCTTCCTGAAGGGAGTGGACTTGTTTGGCTGTAAGCCAAAGCAGGCTTTAGACATGGCGGCAAAACAGGCTTGGAATATCGCGCGGGATATCGCCACTAACCCTGGAAGTTTCGATATCCTGTAGAGGAACCTAAGGCTCCCGGCATACAAAATATTGTAGTTTATTAAAACTCTGACGTCAATTGTTTGCCGTAGGGACATGGGCTGTTTTGATTTAAGTTTAGTGTCTTTTTGATGTAGGAAATGCTTTTTTGATTGAAAAAAAATGAGCATTTAATTTTTTTTTTTGCCCAAAGGTTCTGAAAGCCAGGTGTTGAAATTCGTATTTGTTGAGGTTCAAAATGTTCATTTTGTTAATTATTTTCCTTTGTTTGAGGGTCTGGTTATGTGTGATAAGAAGTTTGAAACAAAGGGAAAAAAGGCAAAATCTAAATCATGGATAAAATTGAACCACGACGAGAAGAATAATTGGTATTGAAAAACATATTCTCGAAATTTTGAATAGGTAACTTTTCATGCACCTTAGCTGAAGGCTAACGCTATCTTTTTTCACAATGAGAATAAAGAACTTAAGTGTCTCACTCACATTGTAGAGGACACCTGTGTATGTAACATACGGCTTTATCATTTAGTATAGAAACAAGACTGGGCTGAAAACTTAAACTCAATTCCTTTAGATTATTCTTTATGTGTAAATTTTATTGAAAGTAGTAACAGGTAACAAGCGAATGCCTCTCGCCAGTCTCTGTAGTAGTAGAAGTAAAATTTCCTTGAAGTTACTTTGAGGTAGAAAAAATAATTTAGTGTTTTTCCCGCCTACACTCAAGTCTCGGCAAAACCACAACGGACCTACATTTAGCCTGTCTGACCTTAAAGAACAATGAAATAGGTTTCTCTTGACAGAGTTTAGTTTGTTTAGACTTTATTCAGATAGAAAACATGTGCGGTTACGCAACAGAAAATAGAACAAACAATGTAGCAGACTGGCGTGTGAGACAGTAACCTGGCAAAATCGCGTTTTATTTCGAAACCTCGTGTTTAAAAACAGGTGATAATATCTTACAGGCGTTGGGTAGCGATGTTAGCGATGGTATGTTTTAAACATTTTCTTCGAGAAAGGGATTTTTGTTCGACAAATATACACGCAAATGTATAAACAATAGCCTCTATTTGGCGCGAAAATATGTACGGATATTTGTCCGCTGACATTATCTGTTCCAAGATGCGAACAGTTTTCCGAGTTCGAAGTTCGAGGAAAACTTTAAGCTTCGAGGAACAGGTAATGTCCAAGGAAATTTGAAAAGAATACTTTTCGTGGTGAACGTAAGGTTTGAAAATTGGGGAATATCGCTTGGGTGATATTCTCGGATATCATCCAATTTTAGCTTGGGGGGGTGGGGTATTCGGTCACGTGCTGCGTTTAGACCAATCGCGCGCGAGCAAAAGTATTGGATGGATCATGAGTAAAGTTATGAATTAAAGTGTAAATGCTCTAAGATATTCAGGTTTGATGCAACTGAAACTCCACTATGTACTCAAAGTCATTTATTAGTAATATATCTTTACCCTTGCCTCGTTCCCCTTCGTGGTCATAAATATTTTAATAGCTTTTGACACAGCTATTGGCCAAGTTGTTGAATAGGATTATTTTGGACTGTTTTTCTAAATGTAAAATCTTTTGCGCGCAAGTTATCCAAAGAAAAGACGATTGGACGTGCAATAATGCGATGGAACTTTTGAAGATTGTTTTTATTTTTCCAACGAAAACTCTGATTTAGTTTCAAAGCTGAAGTCGCTGAGGAGTTTTTCGGTCAATTTAAAGGCAAGGCTGAAACATGCAAATACGCCAACTGAAAATATATGTCAAATAAAACATAGGGAATGATTGGGAAAAGGTTCCTGGCGTGGGTGAATATTGACTCTTTAACGCTCGAACTGAGCACAGTTTTCTGCGAGGTACACTCTTAGAGTGGCTACGTCACGATTTTTGAGTCACTTTTTTTTTTCTTTTTAAGAAGGTTAGAATTACATTCAACGAGAGGGAATTCATAGAATATTAGTAGGTACTAAAATGCTTTACCCTTTTAACCGTAAGGGTGATCAGCATCTAATTTCTCCCTACAATAATACTGCTAAATCTTTCATTAAGATCATGAGAATTAAGGAAATGATCGCCAACTTAAGAAACTTAAGTTTAAACTGATAAAGAAATTCTCCTTGTTAGTATTAATGGAAATGTAAAGGAAAGGGTATGGGGAATATAAATATTGATATTGCAACGTGCTGTAGATAAACTAGGGTCCTTTGAAACATCGATTGGACTGAATGATCTTGCTTTCTACAGGGTCTTCTCAACCTCGTTAAAATGAACAGGAACTCATTCTCAATTTTATCGGTAGATTGCTTTTTCGAGGGCTCCAAAACTGAAACAAAAACTTCATTTGCGTTTCTACAGTAATAACCGTGAAAGATGCTTTCACAGCGGCTTTGTTCAGTGCAAATGATTTTAAGTACAAAGCCTCAAACTGATGCGATGAATGCTGTTTGTCTCCAGGTCATAATGTATATGGACTGTCTCCATGGTAAATGGCTGTTGGATATGATCAAAGCCGTATTTTCACGAAGATATCTTCTGCAAAACTGCGCGGTCGAAGTATATACGTCAACTGGAAGTAAGCTTTGTCATTTTGTTTGTACACATTCATCGTCTTTTTTTTTAAAATTTAGAGCTGAAAAGGATTTCATTGAGAAAATAGCCGTGGCCTTATGTTTTATACGCTGGTCTTCGGATCGGGAAGTCTGAGGGTGAAGCTCTAGCAAGGGGTGATAGTCTTCAGACAGCCACGCTTCACTCAC